CAATCACTTGTTATGCATCAGAGAGTTGGACAATGACTAGGGAGGATAGAAGGAGAATTGATACCTTTGAGCTGTGGTGCTGGAGAAGAGTATTGAATGTTGCCACACCAACTCCAAGGGAGTCTGCGTGACAAAATCACCCGATTGAGGCAAAAATGTCAAGGAAGTCAGCCTCTTGGAACATGTGCTTTCTCCATGATTGTTCTTGGCCTTTCTGTAATTTCTCTTCTATTGTCTCTTTGTGTTTTCTAAGTGGGACAGGGAAAAAAGGCTGTGTTCTTTACACAAAGTGTTCCTACTAAATGTTTGTTAGATGTTCCCAGAAAGAACTAAATGGAGGTGACAACTTTGATACGCAAACATTACCTCTGGTTCTTTTAGCATTACTAAAATTTCTCAAGAATAATATGATTTTAAGGGAATTCATGGATACATTATAACAAAAATAATTAATGGTGGAAATCCTAGAGATGACCACTCCAGAGATTCCTAGATTTCTAGGGCTTATGAGAACTCCTTCAAAGGAAAAACCCAAACCCTTGCCTCCACCATGAGAACACCAGGTGGAAGAATTGTTTATCTGTTAAGTAATGGTTGTTTGTGGCAGCCCCCTTTTGGGAGAGGCTCTTACAGATTTCCAGAGCCTACAGATAAAACTCTTCCATATACTGGAAAATATGATGAGTTTAATGCAAAACACCCTGATGGTTTTGGGGATACGTTTTTCAAAAGGTTTGAAAGTGACCAGAGGGAAGATGTTATGAAAGGTATAAGTGGTAAAATAAATCATGAAACATGAGATTGGAATGATGAATTTAGGTGATATTATGACCCAAAGCATCTTTTGTATAAATCTAAGCCCCCTTATTGAGATAGTGATCACCCCTGGAATAATGGAAAGTGTAAAAGTGTTGTCTTTTGAATGGAAATAAATAATATTATAGATTCAGCTTAAAATGTAAAATGTATCAGCTTAAATTTAAAATGTAACTTTTTTACTGTGTAACTTTGTAACCCAAGCAGGTTGAAGAACATGTTTAAAAAAAAAATTTAAGCAAAAAGCCATTGTCTACCTAGCTCTCCAATTACCAAAGAACCAAAACCATAAAGAATATCCTTTCATGCTCTCCAAGGAACCATGACCATAAAGAATAGCTGTGCGCAAGAAAATAATGTAAACTTTATTCTTACTTTTGTTGTTTTTCTGGCTGTTGATTAAGCCTCTAATTGTAAAAATGGAATATAAATGTATCATGTTAAATGCAATAAGCAAGGAAGAAAGAAGAAGGGGAATTAGAATGACTTAGCATTAAAATCATCAAGATCACTTGACCGTTTGTCTTATGTTCTTTCATAGTCCCTTCGCCAAACTTCTACCCACCTTTGTGTTCCCTCTTCGAGACCCTAGACCTCAGGCTTATTATGAGCCCCTCCCGACTGGAGCAGCCCGCGGCAGTATGTACCATGGACTGCCAAGAAAACAAAAAGATTCATCCTAGAGAGGGTTAAACCAGGCTGCTCCTTGGAGGCAAGGATTCTGGGACTTCGCCTGACATACTTTG